CCTGGTAAACCAGATGTATGAAAGTCATACCCATACACTAATTAAGGTATTCTTTATGTAGCTAGTGTCTTCCTGGTAAACTTAACATATGAAAGTCATAACCATATACTAATTATTCACTTAAACACATGCTTCATACTTCAAAGACGATCCTATACAAACTCTGCTATTCTACTAGCTTGACTCTGGTGATCTACATATTTGTTCAAGTTAGTAAGGAACATGTTTATTTGGAATAATCTTGATGTAGGTAGCCTACAGAATTGTGGAATACTAAAAAAACAGCCTTGGTCTGATACAATAGTGGGGAATCTCTATGATTCTTTTTCACACTCTAGCTGTTGCTTTGCTCCTGTTTCATCTGGTGTAGAAACTTGATACACTCAAGCTGCCATTAGAAGTCACAAATTGTGAATTAGAAGTGTCCAGCATGGTGAAAAAAATGTCACTATTAATATGAATGAAGACTTTCTTCATTTTATAATTGTGTATTTACAAAATTACTCTGCATAACATTCATGGAGCCAGATACTCGATTCTACCCATCAGACACAGAGAGAAAGTGATGGTGGCTAATGGGGAATTCAACTAAGATAGTCCTAGGTTACTGACAAACATTTGTAAGGATACCATCAAATACAGGTTAAATATGCCTTTCTACCTTTTATCTGAGCAAGTATTGTTCTGAATGAAAAGTATTTTTTCATATCAATTCCATACATGCAAGTTAAACACTATACACACTGTGCTATAAACACAGAAAAATTAATGAAGTATTTACATGTATTTTATTTTGTAATTATTCCTAAGTTCAAAACATTAGGCTTGAAAGTTACAACTAAACATACACTGAATATGGCTGAGGAATGTGAACATATTCTGGTTTATACAAATAATATTGGATTAACATTTTTAAAGTAATACCAGGGGTATTTAGATGAAATATTCCGAGTAAGTCAGATATAAAAACATCAATTCCATTCACACCAAATGAGACCAGATAACATAATTAAGCACTACAAACTCATTAGCTGTGAGGTGTGTTAAATCTGTAAAAGCCTTTGATCTATACATCAGATAGAAGAATGATTATTAAAAGGAATACTATTCAGATTTGAGAAGAGTGAACTGATATTAAAATTCTGGAAGTAAAGAGTCGTGTTGACATAGGTCTAAATGTCTTAAAATAACCTATACAGAACATGTTTTCCCACACAGAAATGAACTCATTTTCAACAATCCTGAAGCACTGCCATTTTTGTTTGGAATAATGATTGAGATTTGTCAAGCTCCTGCTATAGATGACAAGCAACAGCATTTGAATTTACCCAAGCTGGCAATATTCAGGTTAAGTAGATGATATAACATAACATTTTGGAACAACATGGGGCCTATTGGCCCACTCCGGATGTTCCATCCTCTAAACTAAACTAAAACTATTAATAAATTAATTAAGAAAAAAATTTAAAGCCCTTATCATTCATATACTTAAAGCTTTTTCTTAAACTTACATAAATTTACTGTCTCCACAACATCTGAAGATAACCCATTCCAAAGTCCAACCATCCTGGAACCACCAAGGAACATTATTATATGAAAAAAAAAACAAAAAACTTTTATTCACAATTCACACAACCTCATGAAAGGCTTACTTTTTTCCATTTTGGAGGATTTTACTGCTTTTTATCCAGTAAATGCTTCATTTTATTATTAGTATTCCATTCATTAAAAATTGATAAACTGAATTTAAATGTTCATATACAATTAAAATGCGTGATCAATCCCATACAATATAAAGGATTACTAAAAATATATTTGAACAAAGAAATACAAGGTATGATGATGCTTTCAGTTCTCTTATTTTTGTTTTAGCCATTGATTCCATTCTATATACAGCTTTTTGTTACTGTCTGAAAAAAGCATGTATTTTAACAAAAGAGAACTACCTGATTATCAGAATTGGTGGCTTGAAATGCTTACAAGAGGGTCAATATGTTTTA